ATAAAGGGTGGCTCGGTGGGTGCGGCCCTTAGAAGTTAGGGATCTCGCACGGTGCTGTGGTAGCAGGCCTGCGATCCCGAGCTCTGAGTGGACCTCTGCACACCGTCTGTCCCCGACAGCCTTCGCCGCCTGTGCCATTACATCCTCAACCTGCGCTACTTCGAGATGTGCATCCTCATGGTCATCGCCATGAGCAGCATCGCGCTGGCCGCCGAGGACCCCGTGCAGCCCAACGCGCCCCGCAACAATGTGAGACCCGCCCCGCCGTCCCCTTCCTCCTGTACCCCAGACTCGGGGCCCCGGTGGGGGTTGACTGGGGACAGCCTCGGGCACAGCCGTGTCTGCAGGGAGGGGAGGCACGTCCCTGGAGGGGACCACCCAGCTGGATCCCCTGGTGGGGGTGGCGGGGACAGGACAGGATCATGCTCTGCCTGGAATGGAGGGGGCCAGGGGCTGAGCCGGGGTGACTTAGAGGTGCCCCCTCAAAAGCCAGCTCTCCCCGTGGAGTCCCCCACAAGGACATGAAGCTTTGGAGGAAGGACGGGCTGGGAGGAGCCCGAGGGTGAGGCCGGGAGAGGAGAGGCCAAGGGGAGGCCGGGGCAGAAACAGCCCAAGCTTTTACTTTTGGAGAACAGAATCCTCTGGGGTCCAGGGTCTGCTAAGCCCCGTCCACCCGGCCCCTGGCTGTGTGTGTGCCCCACCCCGGGCCCAGCTGCCTGAGCTGCCCGAGCTGGACATCCGTTGGACGGGCGGGCAGTCGGTCGGTCGTCCAGTCTGTCTGTCCTCGTAGTCTCTGGAGATGCTGGAGACTGGACCTAGGGCATTTGGCCTGGGCCCAGCCCCAGCCCGACGCTGTCTTTATTTAGAGTCAGGGTCTCACTGAGTGGCTTAGGGCCTCACCGTTGCTGAGGCTGCCTTTGAACTCCCGATCCTCCTGCCTCAGCCTCCCCAGCCGCTGGGATGACAGGTGCGGCCAGGGTGCCGGCCACCGTGACTTATCTAATCCCAGCAAAGCCCTCTCCAGGTGCCCCCAACTGATGAAGGAGGGGTCAGACCCAGAGAGTGGGAGACAAAGGGGGAGCAAGTGACCGTCCCGGGTCACCCTGGGGATCTGCCGGTCAGAAGTGAGCCCTGGCCCTGGTGGAGAGGGGCAGCGGCTCACCTCATGGGTGGGCCACCTCCTGGGGCCCTGGCCTGTCCCCTCGCTCTCTGCCCAGACCCACAGTCGCCCTCCTCACCCGCGGCGGAGGCTGGGGCTCCTGCTAAGTAGGTTAGTGCCCAGGGCGCGGCTCGTAGGCCCGCGGAGGCTGTGCTGGGGCCGGCCGGACGGCAGCCCCCCAGGTTCCCTCCTGCTCCTAGTTCCCGGGCCTCCCAGCTGGCAGGGCAGGTGACGCAGGGGCTGCAGAGAGCCTGCTGGGGCCCGGGCCAGCACCCCGCCCAGCCCACACGGGAGTTCGGGTCCTCAGAGGCCCGTGGTGACCCCGTAGGCCCTGCCTGGCCAGGAGGGCCGAGGGCGCAGGGCGCAGGGCGCAGCGCGCAGCTCCGCAGGGTGGGCGGGGCCAGGATTCCTGCTGCCCCTGGCGGCGCCCAGGACGGTCGCCCCACCGTGGGGACCGCCCAGCTCAGCAGAGCCAGAGAGTCCACGACGCGGAGGTGACCACAGCCCGGTCCCTCGCTCCCGCACCCCGGTGGCAGCCACACCCGGGACATGATATCAGAGCGGCTCCTGCAGGCCCGACCCCAGCTGCTCGGGCACCCACTCAGCAAGCACCCTTGAGCGCCTGCTGTATGCCTGGCCCTGCACTAGGAGCTGCAGCAGCCACAGGGGGACTATCTCTGCAGGACTGATGTGGGGGACAACGGGATGATTGATACCATAACAGACAGCTCCCCGGGAAAGGATGAGGGGTGCGGGGACAGGATTCCAAGGCCGGGAGGTGGCATTGTAGACAGGTAGCCGCCGAAAGCGTCGCCGGGAAAGCCATTCCCAGCCAAGCATGGAGGAGGGGGACCCCACAGGATGCAGGGAAGGGCGTTTCAGGCAGAGGGAACAGCCTGTGCAAGAGCCCTGGGGTGGGATCGAGGAGGCAGGAGGCCAGGAGCAAGGGAAGGGTGGAAGCAGGGCACCGTGTCCCTAGGGAGGTGACCAGAAAGTCGTGCAGAGCCGCTAGACCAGCAGGAAGACTGGACTTCATCCCAGTAGCGGGAGGCAGGAAGGGGCGAGAGCCTGCCGCAGGTGTTCACAGGCGCCCTCCGGTGGCCGTGTCCAGTAATTACCAGGCCCTTAAGGGCACCGTTGGTCAGGCCACACCCTGGGTCGCCACCCAGCTGGGCTGTGCGCGGGGAGAGAGTCGGGGCTGAGGGTCGGTGATCATCCGGGCAGAAACTGGTCGAGGCTGAGACAGTGGGGCGGGCGGATGAGAATCACCCACCCTGGTGGGAGCGTGGCCGTGGGACACAGACGGTGACAGCAAGCAGCCAGGTGGGCCCCAGTGCTTAGGAGACACCACATGGAAACAGACCTTGCCCAGAGACCCAGCGGAACCAGGACGCAGTGGGGACAGGATCCAGTTACCCCTGAACTTGTCCAGGGCCCCCTCAGCGCACGTAGAGCTTGGGGCAAATACACTAGGCCCCTGGATGCTGGCCTCGGCGCCCGCCGTCCTCACGGAGGGATTCCATGGGATTTGCTGCCATCTGCTGGAAAGTCTCATTCACAACCTACAAATCTAGGGGTGGGAGGGGCTTTTGTGCAGTGCACGCCCTGCCCAACCATATATGACAGATACGCTTCCTCTGGGTGGAAACTCTGCTCCTTGGGGACTTTGCTGGGGGCCTCACAGACCAATAGGCAATTGCAGTATTTACAGGGGTCTCTGCTGGAGCAGGTCGGTGATCCCTGCCCTCTTCCTGCCCCCTGCAGGTGCTGCGATATTTCGACTACGTTTTCACTGGCGTCTTCACCTTTGAGATGGTCATCAAGGTGAGCGCGGGGACAGCCGCCAGCGCCCCGCGGGGTTCTGAGCCCCCAGGACCCTCCGGGTGCAGACGGCTTCCCTGAGGCCTGGACATGGTGCATGTGACCGAGGGGCGGCCACGAGAGTCGGGAGAGGGGCAGGGAGGGGAGAAGGGCGACGGCGACACCTGGAGGAGCCGCGCAGGGGGCGGCCCACCGCGGGGCTCTGCGCCCGGGGAGCGGGGCTGGGCTGGGTGTGCGCCGGCGCCCTCTGGTGGCCGTGAGCAGGACCGACCTGAGGGCGGACGGACCTGGAAGCCAGCGCAGGTCCCCGGTGGACCATGCGGGCGGCACCGGGTTGGTGGACAGAGTCCTGGGGGTTGGGAAGGCAGAGCCCCCAGGGCTGGCTGAGGACCCGATCGAGGGGCAGCCCAAGGTCTGGAACCAGCGAACCCTCGCTGCCTGTCACCTGGTGGGGCCTCCGCCCCCCACGCGGGGCCCTCGCTCCTGCCCCAGGCCCCGCGGCAGGGGGAGGCCCGTCCACCTGTCCCCGGCACTTTCTCCCGCGGGCCGCCAGGGCCGAACCTCAGCGCCTGCTCTTCCCGCAGATGATCGACCTGGGGCTGGTCCTGCACCAGGGCGCCTACTTCCGCGACCTCTGGAACATTCTGGACTTCATAGTGGTCAGTGGGGCCCTGGTGGCCTTTGCCTTCACGTAAGTCCCCACCCGAGGCCTCCGCTGGCCTCCTGGCCCCCATCCTCAGCCTGAGACCACCTGCTGGCTCAGGGGACCCGCTCTCAGGGCGCAGAGATGGGGCGCGTGGGCTCTGGGTGGCGGGAGGTGCCGCATGTCACCGGAGGAGCTTCCACCGGCTTTGTGCACGTCAGGGAGAGAGAAGGAGCGGGCGTCCCTTCTCCTCCTCCCACGGCAATGGCCCGCCACCGGCCTCCTGCCGTGCTGCAGGACATCTCATCTCCCCTCTGCTCCGCCAGCCCCCCAAGAACCTCTGTCTCTTTGGGGTGCCCTGAAAAGACCATCATGGATGAGTGTGCATGACACCCCACCCCGTGCCTGAAGGCCCCGTGCCCGTCCACCATGGCCCTGTGTCTTCCCCGCCTCCTGGCAGGCCTAGGGCCCTCCGCCCTCCGCGGGGCTAGATCAGGCCACCTCCAAGATGGTGCCCAGGGGCTGGGCAGCCCTTCCAAGATGCCACCATGGCGCTTAGTGCCCACTCCAAAACGGCACCTGACGCGTTCCGGGCAGCCCTACCCAGGGGCCCCCGAGTTCTGGGCAGCCATTTCAAGAGGCACCCTAGAGCCTCAGGTGTCCAAGTTCTGGGCTGTTCCAAAATGGCACCCAAGTTCTAGACGGCCATCTCAGGATGTGGCCCGAGAACTAAGTGACCAGGGTTCCAGTTCCGAGCATCTGTTCCGAGATGGTAGCCCTGATGTCCACTCCAAGACTCGGCTGCCCCGAGTCCTGGGCAGCCATTCCAGATGATCCCAAGCCGGGTGCTCATCTCAGGATGGTGCCCACGGGCCGTGCAGCCATCCCAAGGTCTGGCTCCTGAGATCTGGAACCTCGGTTCTAGGTGACCATTCTACCAGATGGCCCCCGAGTTCTGGGTGGACTCCCACACTGGCACCCAAGTTCTACATGGCCATCGAAACGGTACCTCAGAACCAAGCGGCCACTGCAAGGTGGCCCCGGATTCTGGGTCACCGCTTCATATGGCACCCTTGGGCTCAGTCACCACCCCAGAATGCCAGCTGATGTCCGGGAAGCCATTCCAAGGTGGTCCCCAGGAGCTGAGCAGCCACTGCCAGGTGGCGTCTGAGTTCTGGGCAGGCTCCTCCAGGTGACACCCTGATTCTGGACATGCGTTCCGAGACGGTGACCACGAGCTGACCAGCCAGCAGCCCTCGGGGCCTGTGGTCAGCCTGCAGCCCTCGTGCTGTCGATGCTGGACGAGTCGGAGATCTCCCGACTCCAACCCGGGGACAATCCTGAGGCTCTGGGGGACCCTTAGGTCCCCTGTGGCCCTCACAGTGGATCAGCCCCGGGAGGGAGGGTCTGGCCAGGGTGGGAGCCCCTCTCCCCAGACCCCCCGAGCCTCGTCCCCTCGTTCCCTTCTCGGCAGGTGCAGGGTCCCCCGAGCGGCTCCTGGCCAGACAGGAAGGGCTGGGCTTGTGAGAGGACAGGACCGTGGCCGTTTCCGGCTTAGGGCGAAAGTGGGCCTCGCTGAGGCTCTTCCCTGCAAACAGGATGGGGTCAGAGGACCAGGAGGGGGCCAGGGGGTCAGGACGCCCCAGCGCGGGGCAGAGGTACACCGTGTCCCTCTCCGGGCCACAGGCCACACCGCCCACTCCTCTCCTCTTCCTTTGCTCTCCCTCTGCCCACCC